ATCCTAGGTGTATATGACTTTCTTCTTTCAGACGAATCCAGTTGGAGTTATATTAAAAATTGTCCTGGCTATTCCAAGCTCTATCATTGCAGTCAGCGGGTATTGCAGTGCTTCAGTCCAAAAGAAGTTAAATAAAAAGCGCCCATGCATAAAATAAAGTGTCTCCGGGGGGTGAACAAAGGCCTCCTGTAGCGAATCGATGCGTTTTTGTAAGAAATATATCCATATTCAAAATGTAATAATCACTTTAATCTAGCTTGCGCCAGCAGTTGTACACAGAAGCAGTTCCGGGAGCATGACGTATGAGGTCAGCATTGCGCATGCACCGGTGAGTCTCGTGAAAACCAACGTCTCCTCTTAGCTTATATTATTTAACTTCTTTTGAACTGAAGCAATGCAACACCCGCTGACTGCAATGATAGAGCTTGAAAGATCAAAGACAATTTTTAATATAACTCCGACTGGATTCGTCTGAAAGAAGAAAGTCATATACACCTAGGATGCCTCAGGGGTGAGTAAAACGCAGCCTAATTTTCATTTTTGGGTGAACTAACCCTTTAACTATGCTATGGCATCATGGTCAGAAACCAGATTTTATTCCCTTTTTTACTTTGCTGAACACAAACAACAATAAATCTTCTTTTGACACTTTCACTCATAACTCCAGTTTTGTGCTTACCTTCACCTTGAAGACTATGACATTTTCATCACAAATTATCCTGTTAAAAAGCTTACAGGTTGGTTCTTAATATTGTGCTTTGCCTCCTCGAGCAGCAATGTCTGTTCACAGCCTTTTTTTGATAGCTGTGCTTTTGCAGAGTAGTACGTAATAAAAAGAAAACTCAATTTTTAGGATCTCTCAACTTAAAATAAAAAATCTAATTATGTAAACTTATAAAAAGGCTGCAGTTGCATGTAAAGATACAACTACAGCTGCAGTTTCATGTAAAGATTAAGATAGTGTGTCTTACCGTTTCAGCTCCCAAAGTCTGTAAACCTGTGTATGTTCTGTCAAGCTGAGGGAGAACAAATAAAAGATAAATAACAGAAACATTAAAGAGCAGTCTTTGCTGCAGAGTATCTAAGAGGTTGATGGGTGAACAAAAGTACTTTAATCTGCAAACTAGCCTATTCTTTTTTCTTGACATCTTGATTCATCTCCCTTTATTTTATCTTTGTTATTTTAACCAATAACAAAAGGGATTGCTGTGACAACAAATAAAGAAGAAAGGAAATATCAACAGACAGGATGCTTTATAAAATCGACCATTTCAACTTTAGACTCAGAGAACCTAAAAACGATAGATTACATAAAACATAAAACGATAGATTTGTGTAGACATATTCTATTATGCACAATCTGCACACACACAAAAATAAATTTTAAATAAACAGAAGGGGATGTCATCTAATGTCTGAATTTTCCACAAAAAAGTACAAAGAAAGATAAAGAGGGAGAAAAGGAAAGATGAAAAGGGCAACAAAAGGGTTCAAAGAGAGCATGTATGCAAGCGGTCAGTAACTGTCTGACCTTTAAGTGGTGGATGATGTCGATACGTTTGTTCCGTTGGTCTTTAAAGTGAATCTGCACACGGACAGGAAACTCTCCCCACCCTCGACGGGTCAGGTGGAATGGTGGCTCACTAAACACACACACACAAACAAACAGAGTTTAAAGGGGTCATATGATGCGATTTCAATTTTTCCTTTCGTTGTGAAAGCGAAACTACTTTGTTTGGCCTTCCAAAAGAGGACAATATCCGCTTCGTCATGTCTAGAGCTGATCCATGCTGGTCGCTGAGGAAATACATCAACTTCGTGCTGTCGATGGCCGGATCGGCTTTCACCGTGGACGAAGTGGAGTCCAGTCCAGGGTCGTCACATGTGGTTGCCGCAAGCCCTCCGGACGCTCCTTCGTCGAATCCGCCGGCCGCGCCGTTCT